ACACACACACCTTGGAAAATGATTATATCCGTATTAATAGCTAAACACACTTGAGAAAACAAAACAGAACGTGCGATCTCGATCAAGGCCACTAAAGATGAGCAGTGTTGCCAATCTCATTACTCTTATACCATGATACACAGTGCAGAACACTCCTCCACAACAGACAAAATATGAAAGCCACATGACCTAATGTAAGTGTCAATGCACCACATCAGTCTTAAATAGATTTAAATATATACACAAATATATGAAATGTTATTTATTACACATATTATTGCTGATCTTATTTACTCCACAGACATCCGATATCACAGAAGATCGTATCAACAGAAGTCACACAGCAAGAAGCAAGATACCAAAATGCAGTAAACATATCGACATAGGAGGAACTGCGCCAACTCAACATCATACGAGCATCCAGCCTTAACACAAAAACACGACAGACCATCGGAAGTTTGGAATTCAGTGGACAGTAATAGAAATGTAATATGGAATTGGAAATTTATTTTCCACTTATACTAACTGTTGCATGTAACCTTCTAACTATTTTAACAGGTGACTGTGGTGTTGTAGAAAATCAGTGTATTTAGGGACATATATTATAACCCAATAACACAATTTATGGCAAATAGGGCATTTCAGCGGACATATTAACATTTAAATATTGCACAGCACACGCTAAAGTATATCATTATAAACAAACTACCACTTTAATAACATTACCAAATAGTTTGTGAGAACAGACACTTTTTCCTTATCTTGTGCTGTTAAAGTAACGAGAGAAAAAATGGGCAGCAGTGTAATTTATAACAAAATCTTCACACCAAAATATAAGATTCTGTCAAAACAGATTTATCATAAGACTTGTAAGTGGAAACATATTATGAAAATAAATCTAAAAAAGATGTAAGGCAAAGTATAAGATTAATGGAAAGAAATTATTACTATTGTTAATGTCTCTCTCACACACACATGCATAAGTGTGTTCGCACATGCACACATGCTTCCAAACAAGAAACCTATTTGAACAAATGCATTATATTTAATTTGTAACATCTTTGACTGTTTAGCATTTATTTACAATTACTGTTTCACAGATCTTCTACAAGCCTGAAAAAGGAGTCTATGTTACTTTGTATTACAAATTAAGATAATGAATATATATATATATGCACTACCCAATTCAGACTGCAATTTGCTATTATTCTTACAGGACTGGAGCACTACAGGAGAAAACCAGAGTTAGGGAAAAGGTACAGTAATGTTCCTTCTTTATAACTGTTTCACAGATAATAACAACTCATACACAAAAAAGAAACATTCAGGCATTTGTATAAATGGACAGAAAAAAAATCTCATCTGAAAGGAAGGCTTACCTCAGTTTCATCTTTTTGTATTGAAGTTCCTGACTGTATATGAACCTCATCAGATACCACGCTAATGGAATCTTTTTCACTTTGAACATCAACATCATTTTCCATTTTGATTTTACCCTTCTTCTGCTGTAAAATTAAAATTAAATTATAAAATTTTGGCAGATAACTCAAAAATCGAGGGAAATAGTTGTACTCTGAATAATGCATATGAGTAATATTGTAGTAAAATGACGATGTTCATGCATGCCTGTCAATACAGCTAAACATAAAAAATATACGTAATTTAAATTCACCCAGTGGGTGGTATGTCCAGAATTCAATACGGATTTCAATCATAGTATATGTTGAAGGATATAAAACCATGTAAGGTATGTACACATTTCTGTACTCACCACATGGAAAGGCAGAGTAATTTCTTGAAAAAATACATTTTACATTCACAGGAAAAGAATTTGAACAAGTTGTTCAGTTTGTATGACCTGGAAAGTGGGTGTTGATTCTAAATTATATCTGGGTCCTGTGTTTTAAATTCCCTTCCAGCCTGT